TCATTTGTAGTTAATTCTTGTAACAAACCCAAGCAGATCACCAAATATAGGTTCTAAACATAATCCCATTCTGAACTAATGAGGTAGTAGATGCTGTCAAATCAAGGTTCTTTGATCTCTCCAGAGCCTCTAGCCGCATCTTACATTATATTCTTTTTACATACTTTGAATCTTTGATACAGTATGATTTAATGCTATGTTTATAGATGAGAAGATGTCTGGATAATGGAAGCTCTGGGAGCACATTTTCTGCCATGGATTCCTCCAGGCATTCCCAATACAAGGACACTGCGAATGGTCAGAAGTCATCTGTTGCTACACTCTTTGAGCAAGGTATGAGTTCTTTGAGTTCGAACCAAAACATTCCATAATATCCATGTTTATGACTCACATTATTTTAACAGTTGGATTGCAAAAGATTTTGTCATTGCTGGAGTCAGATGATGCCAATGTACGAATTCATGCTGTGAAAGTGGTGGCCAACCTAGCAGCCGAAGGTTGAAGCTAATCTCATCTTAAATCTCTGCTATTTGATCATCTACTTTCTCTGAACTGTTTCCTGACAGTGCTTACAATTGTTAAAACAGTACTTACCGAGTTAGGAGGCTGTTTAGTTTGAGAAAAATATTTTCTGTTTCCGTTTCCTAATTTTGCAAATAATCATAATGTAAATAGAAAATGTTTTCATAAACCAAACAGGCCTTAGTGTCGTAATTTATTTTTAGTCACGGTAGATATTGACCTTTTGACTATTTTGGATTGGTTGTGATTTATGGGGAAAAGTATTTCCTATTAACTATCAATAAGATTTGACCTTTTGACTATTTTGGATTGGTTGTGATTTATGGGGAAAAGTATTTCCTATTAACTATCAATAAGATTTGTTTATTTCACTGTCCACTAGACCATTCATTCATTCCACATTCTCTTCATTCATCCCTTCTGAAGACTAAGACTGGTATTTGGTTATATGCTCATGCATCTTTTCTTATGTATAGGATTTTTTAAATAATTTGTCTCAATTAAATGTGCAGAGGCTAATCAGAAGAGAATTGTTGAAGCTGGGGGTCTTACTTCCTTGCTGATGCTTCTTCGAAGATATGAGGATGAAACTGTTCGCAGAGTAGCTGCTGGGGCAATTGCCAATCTTGCTATGAATGGTGAATGTTGTTAATAGATTTTTTTTACATGTTTTATGTTGAAAGTCCTATATTGCCTACCTCATGTCATTTGGTATGGTTTAAATACATGTCAGGCTACTCCACATATTGTCAATTAGTTTTATGTTGGAACCTTAACATGGTATTAGAGCCAAAACCTAACATCTTTCCGGTTATTGTCATGGGCCAAAAGTTTCTCTTTAGTTGGGTCAAAAGTACCATTTGCCTGGTCCGGCAGGCTTCGTTGGAGAGGGCGTGTTGAAAGTCCACATCACCTATCTCATGTCATTTAGTAAGGTTTAAATACATGTTAGGCTACTCCACATATTGCCAATTGGTTTTATGTTAGAATCTTAACATTTTAAACAAGTGGATCTTGCTTCCCACTTTGGTACTAGCTCAGTTTATTTGTGGTTGTGCATTTAGCTAATGTTTGTTTTGATATTTTTTGCTTTCTTTTGTTTGATCAGAAGCAAATCAAGAACTTATTATGGCTGAAGGAGGAATTACTCTGTTATCAATGACTGCATCTGATGCTGAAGATCCACAAACTCTTCGAATGGTTGCTGGGGCAATTGCTAACCTATGTGGCAATGGTATAATTTGTTTTTTAGCAAGTCATTATTTATGTTGATAAATGCATGAAAATATAATCTTAGCCATCGGATAAATTCAATTGGGATAGTTAATAATAATCACACCAAGATGGTGATGTACTCATCATGATTGGCTAGTAATAGGTTCTTTGAACATTTTTTTGTACCATGTGCTTGATTGAGGGTTTGAGAAATTGACGTCATTTTTTGCATTTTTTTTGTTACCACAAACCCAAAACATGGGCTTGAACTCTAAAATGATTTTTTTCCATTCATTAAAAACTGTCTTGCAGAAATCATGTAAAACTGAAACTTTTGTATAACTTATTTTGGAGATAAAAGGATCATCGTTTCTACTTTTGTTTTAGCTGACTTTATATTATATAAAACCTGTTATAGATTCAGTCGTTGAGAATTCTTCATTCCGTGTTTCTGTTACAATAAAGCATATGTGAAGATAGTGCTCTATTAGATTTTGCATTTTAAATCATTATATTTCCATCAAAATATATTTTTTCCGAAGATCGTTCATATTTTTGTCTCCATGTTCTTCAGATAGAATATTGTTGACTCTGAGATCCCAGGGAGGTATAAAGGCTTTACTGGGAATCGTAAGATGTGGGCATCCTGATGTTCTTTCCCAAGTTGCACGAGGAATTGCAAACTTTGCAAAATGCGAGTCTCGAGCTTCTAACCAAGGTCTACTTTTCCTCCATATTTGATTCTTAACACTCACAAAGCTCCAAATTAGATAGAAAATGGACAAAATAGTGCTCACTAATATCACCAAAAAATGTAGTCATGCAATGATTACTTATGTATTTCATGTTTCTAAGCAAAAAGCATTAGTCAATTTGCTCCCTCCACTTCCAAAGGCCACTGAAAATATTTATTCCATTCAAAGAGAAATAAACAAGATACAGTGGTAGTTTGGGGTCCTTACAATTATAATTTTGTGCTCAGGGATAAAAAGTGGGAGATCTTTTTTGATAGAGGATGGTGCACTCCCGTGGATAGTACAAAATGCTAATAATGAAGCTGCACCAATCAGGCGTCACATAGAGCTTGCACTCTGCCACTTGGCACAGCATGGTAACGAGACTTCTGATCATGTTTCAGTTTTTGTGAATACATTATTCTAAACTAAAAAATGTTATGTTATAAACATTACAGAAGTGAATGCAAAGGACCTGATTAGTGGAGGTGCTCTTTGGGAACTTGTCCGGATTTCACGAGATTGTTCACGAGAGGATATACGGAATCTTGCTCGTCGGACTCTCAGTTCTGTCTCAACATTCAAATCTGAATTGCGGCGATTACGTATAGATTATTAATTATGAATCTACGCATTTATTCTTGTTCCACACCTTGTGAGGCACATACTTGATAATCTTTCCTAGTAGCATTTGAGGGGCAGTTATCGAAGGCTTGCTTACCTTGCTATTTTTGTGTTAAGAGAAGCAGCAGGGGTTTAGCTTCTACCTTTTTTCAAGCCATTACTGACCAGAATGAATCTATGTATAATAGAGGGGGGGAATTCATGGAGAAAAAAATGAGGTTTTTGGGCAGAAAGATGGTAAAATGTGTTAAACATTGGTTCGTCAAATTTTGACCACCACAAATTCCATAGAGCTGCCAATATTATTTGTAATTTGATTTCTGTAAGTAATGAAAATCATCATTCTATTTTGTTTTAAATACGTTTAATCTTTGTAAATATAATTTTATGTATTTAGTTCCTAAAAATATGTTAGTTTAAAATTGTATGTCATCCTTTTTAAATACCTGGTCTTTATGGCCTCATATGTCATCCAACATTGAGAAGCCTATAGCCCAAGATATTTGATTTTGGGTATTTACACTTAACACCATTCCATTCATTCTATAGGGATTTTCTTGCTGCACTTCCAAAAGAATAATGATCAAAATAGTCTAATATTAAAAAAAAAGGATCTTTGATTCCTAAATTTACTCCACATGAAGCATCCTCGCGCTGCACCTTTCCTAATCTCCCTTGATTCTTTTGAGGTAGAAGATGAATTTGGTGGTGTGATAAGTCTTAAGATTGGTTAACTGAACCCTAGAGTTATCAAGGCCTTTCACATTTCGTAGCTTATGAAAGTTGATTGAGTTTTCAGATAAGCTATATTCAGTTGAAAGTGCAGTTAACATTCCAAAATACTAATTCCGGAAGACAATAAATATTAATATTGCCAATAACATTACATAATTACTATTTAGAAAAGCAAATATGGAACGGGAAGATAATTTCGAAATTTATAATCCGGATGTAGAAACTCATCCTGGAAATAAATATTTCAGAATGAAACATTTCTTGTTCTGAATTGTCTTCAGAAATGTGATTCTCGAAAAGTACATAATATGAATTGTTCATTCTGGAATGTATCAAACGGAAACCTTTCACGCAAGACCTTCCACGACAGAAAACATAATGTTTCTGAAAAGGAAAATAATGGGGGTGCAGATGCTGCTCTGATATAAAATGGCAAAGGTAAACTTGGCAAATTAAAATTTTGGAGGTGCAGCATGTTGGGTACAAAAGTGAAAGTTCATTTCTATAATCTCAATCTTCTTTTCCAACATATCGTGCAGTAGGAGGGCGTTGGTGTTTCAAGCAAATATGGGTTGATTATTTTGCAGAAAATGGACAAGCAGGAACACACTCATTGAATAGCCCTCTGCTTGGCGTTTTAACCCTCTGCATAGCATGGAGAAGGATTGAAGGGACAAATTTACGAGTTCAATTCATGTACACCAACAGTATACATAGTATTCGTCTCAATCTTTTCGTGAAATCCAAATTCTCTTGAATTGAAAACATGTCTTCGTTAACAGTAACTTCAGCATAGATGTCACTCATTGCATCGCAACTAGAAAACTAAGATCCATATCACAACAAAAATATAGAACATCAAAGCATAACAGTAACTTGACAAACAAAATTAAAGATGGAAAAACTCATTCTTTCCAAAAATGAGGATAAACTAATTAAGCATACAAGATACAACATTAAACCTCCTGGTAATACAGATAAATTCGTAGTGGTAATCCTAGGCTTCTAAATATAGAAGAAACGGGGAAGGTATAAACACAAAATCACTACAAACTATTCAAACACTATCGAACTATACTTCTGCAAGTAAAGGAAGACAATATGAACAAAATGATTTACGGAAAAAATATCCTATATCTCAAAATTCCGGGTTGATCTTACCCCAAGCAATTAACATGAGCGTAGCAGAAGAGGCCCAACTGATAAACTAAGCATATCACTGAGAGCTACCTGAACCTCAGTTGAACCATGTTCACAACTTATCAAGCTTGATATAAGAGGGAAAAAATGAGCTAGATTCTTCTCAAAAGATGTATCTCCCAAATTACAAATAGCTTGAAGAGTGGCCACAACAAGCGGTGCACGTGCGGACAATTCTCTCCTCTTCCCAGAGCCTAGAGGAACTAACCAATGCAGCTGTCTACCATGAGAAGATTCAGATACTCTTCCAGAACCTGCAACTTCAATATAAAACTCCAGGACTTCCTGACAAAGCTGAACAAGAAGTGTCTCTACCTCAACCTCCTCATAATTAGGAGGCGTGTCCACAACAAGGTTCTGTAAAAATGTGAGGCATATTTGGTAGGACTCATTCTCCAAGCGTAACAGTGGAGGGTCTTGCATTTGAGTCATAGAGCCATACTCTTGTAATTTTGAACGTAAAATAATATTGCTGTTAATCTTGTGTGCATGTGATGCCACATCATGCAAAGCCTCAAACAAGACGAGTATGGTTTTTGCTGAAAGCTGAGATCGGTACATGTTATAGATCTCCATCACCGCCTGACAATTTCAGTGAGTTAACATTATTTTTCAAAAACTAGATACTGTTGATTTTAACAGAAACGAGGTACTAAATGGAAAATGTCTCTTCCTCGTGAAAGCATTCTCTAAAATAATATAATTCTAGTAATGCTAAAATGGTAACCTACGGTAATTTAAAGACTACAAGTTTCAAAGGAATTTTCATGGATATAATAAGAAAAACATCTAGTGAAACATTTGTCATGGCTTCTTTGTATCTCTTACTACTGGGAAATTTTTGGTGCATTCTTTCCACAAGGCATCTTAACAATGTTTGAGGAATAAAATAAATCTACCTGGATCAATAAAAGCTGAACAGCTGCTCGGCATTTTGCATCAGATAAATGTGAATAAAGAAGTTGAATCCTCATGCTTTCTAAATTATCATGTGAACCAGACTCAGAAGGATCCCTATCATCTTCAGCCATTGAAGCATGTTCATGATTTCCAGTCACAATGTTTCCACTGTCAAGGAATAAAAAGTTGGGAAGTGTCGCATTTGCTGCTTCTTTTAGTGAAAACACCACTTCTAACCACTTCTCATCAGAAAACAGCTCCCCAGCATTACTCATTAAACGAACAAACGCAGCAATACCAATGCCAGCTAGGCTTTGATGAGGGCGCTTTATAAAGCTTACCAGGAGCATCAACACCTTTCTTAAAAGTGGATTGACAGTATTATAGAAGTTGACAAAAAGATCTACTACCAACTGGAGGGCTAATGTGCATGTCTCATAAAGCCATGCATCTTGATCAAGCTGACCGTCAGTCTCTAATTCATTGACCTCTGAGCTACTCCCAGAAGGATCAATAGCATGGCGGACATAGTCAAATATTGGAAATAGGACTGATTCAAATACTCTTTCCCATAAAGGTAGCGAAAAGAGGTGGCCATGGTTGCGTAAGGTTTCAAACAGGACTTTCAAGGCGCTTTGCCTTATTTCAGATCTTGGGTCAAAGCTAAGCTCAGATAAACCTGCAAAAGATAGGTGTTGAATAAGTACATACATAACCCACTAAGCTTCTGACAACTTAAAGGTTCATTTCAGATAGAAGTCACTAATCATTTGAGCAAGTAACGAAATATAAGCTATCTAGATTTGCTCTAATTAGTGCCTGAACATACTTAATACAATGTCCTTACCAGCCAATAAAGGAAACCAGAAATAGAGATGATCATCCTTGTCAGTAACCTCTCCATTTTCTTGTTTCCCCTCTTTTCCTGATCGAGGTGAAGGGGTAGATATCTTTCCATAAGTTTCCTTGTCATTATTCCTTAATGAAGATCCAAGGTCTCCTGCTGCAAGTTTTGTTGCACAGAATCGAAGGAAAGCAATGGCATTTAGGCTAATCTCTTTGTTAAATCTACTATTGGTGAATGCAATTAGACAATTAACACAATCTGTAAAAGTGGTTGTTTCAGTCTCAGTGATGTACGGAAAATAATCTCGAATAATCTTCTCCATAATTTCAAAAGCCAAGAGTACAATATTTTTGTGGTCATCATATGCTGCTGTTGTGAATACCTGCAATCAAGTCCACAAGCAATGAGTGGAAATAATTAAGAGAAAAACCTTACAGCAGTCAAAAACATTTTTCATGCAAATTGAAGCTCTCTATGGAGCAGAAATTAGCCCTACCATGAACATGCTCTTCCATCCTGATTTTACATTGTTTACACGAGATAAAACCATTTGAGAGACACATCTAATGATAAGTTCTCTAATTTCAACAGCACTACTCTTCCGCATAACAATGACAAAAGGCTTCATAAATTCATTTTGAAAATTATAATTAGCCAATTCCTCTCGCTCCAGAAATTTCATTGACAACTGACGCAAAGAATCCATTGCAAAAATTGCAATTGAAAGGTTCCCAGAACAGCCAATGGTTACAAAGAAATCTGAGAGAACATGCCATATGCTTGACCAAACAAGCCTGATGCGGTTCATATTGTAGTGCCTGTTACAGAATAAACACCTCAAAGTCAAACTATAAAATTAAGGAAGCAGTGCATAGACATTAATCATTTATGAACAATCAAATCATAAGCCTAATGCTGTCACTATTTTTTTTAGATCAATTGGACCTTCCCAATGCCATCTTTAGGGGCATTTGAAACATCACCTCCCCAATAAAATTGAACACTTTCTGAATTGTTTCACCATCAAACATTGGTCCGTTCACATGCAAAACCACATTCGTTTCACAAGAATTAGACATGAAACTCGCTCAAAATTCAAATAATCACGTTACCTAACCTACAATTTTGCATGAGGTTTGGGGATTTAAAACGGGCAACATGTCAAATGAGAAAAAAAAAAAACAGGCTGTAAAGTTCTCTGATTATAACCAACAAAAGACATTGCAACTGCCAAGAAGATCAAGGTTCCAAAAATGCCATCAAATTTATTGTTTATTTATACTAATCCCCAAGCTGTAAACACCAAGAGCCTCAAAGAGAAAATAAAGAAGTAGCATAGTAGAAAGAAAATACATACGCAATCTCAACTATCTTTGTAAGGCTGAACACCCGTGGATCAGATGGAGATCTGAGTTCCTCCATGGAAACTTTGCACAAAGCCTTAACAAAATCTATTATGGCCTCACTGTTCAGCTTCTGACTCCGAGTGTATATGCGACTCATTTCTGAGCTTCCAACTTGTTCCAACATATTCAAATTAGAAACTAGATTGTTCACCTGTTCCGATGTCACAGCTCCAGAAGTATTACTGCTGATTCCAGTGCTATCATATGAACCCCGCATCACTGTGGCAGCTGCATATTGCATCCTCCCAGGTCCCTTCTTCTTTAAAACAGGAAGAATGGTTGATTTTGCTTGTTTTGTTTTTTCAGAATCATTTTGAGGGAATGCAAAAAATGTGGCATCTGGTGGGGCCCCCTCTCCGAGAAGATGTAGATGTTCAAATCGGGAAACACAGGTCAAGATGTGCTCCCAAGCTTCTTGCAAATAATTCCCATCCTCATCAGCAATAGTAACAATCACCTACAAACAATTTATGTGCAAAATCTGATGTCAAACCCACAAGACCTTAACATTTGCTTTTAGATATTATACAATTCGCCATAGGTATGCATTGCAATTAAGTATAAGAATCTTCAAATATTGTTTCCCATTTCAAACAGGAAAACTTCCACAAAACACTCCATTATTTCAACAAATACTAAAATTGCAGCAGAAATTTTTGTGATCTCAATAACAAAAAGGACAGCACTTTTTAATTAATATGCATGTAGTGGAAAAAAACTTGCAGATGATTAAGCTTTAGTTAGTTCTGAATCATCAAGTAGGATCCATTTAAAATTAAAACTTGTTCAAAATGTACAACAATATGAATACTAACATGTTCTTTGTTGAAGTATTTATTAGATTAATTGTATCTTGTTGGGCATTTATGAGATTAGTTGTAGACCTAGTTCCTAGAATGCATCTGTTTATCTTCTTTAGGATTAATCATGTCTCTCTATTAATTGTATCTCTGAATCTGTATTTTTATCTCCTATAAATAAGAGAACACAAGAAGATGATTTCATGCTCTCAAAATCAGTTCTTTATTTTTCTTTTTCTATTTCAAGTTGGTATCAGAGCGAGATGAACCCGCTCTGCCTGTCTCTGTTTTTTTCTGGCATTAATCGCCGTTCGCCACCGTTCGCCGCCGGTGCAGTACTTCTCCGGCGCCATTTCTCTCTCTGACACTTGGGTTAGGCTCGCCTCGAGGAGCGCAACCCAACCCCAGTGATCGCTTTCTCCATCTCTGCCTCACGCGCCGCCACGCGCCACCTTCGTCCGTGCGTGAGCCTCATGCACCGCCCTCTCGGTGGCTGTTTTGCTCCAGTCCACCTCTATCCGGCTCGCCTTGTCGCTCTGGTGCCAGATCTGCACTTTGTTTTGTGTTCTCTGTCACAAAACATGGTGGGTCTGCGTTTTTTCTCTCTGCCTCTCTCGGTCCTCTCTCTGCTTCCATAGACAGCACGCTGGTCCTCTCTTGTTTCCTGAAAAATGTCAGGACCTGTGTTTGTATCTTTTTCTGGGACTCCAACTATAACCACAGAAAAATTAAATGGGAAAAATTATTTGTCTTGGGCTTCCTCTGTTGAGCTCTGGTTTTTAGGACAAGGAGTTCATGATCATCTAGTAGAAGAAGATGGAAGTACTAAACCAGCAGATCAGGCTCCTCAATGGAAGAAACTGGATTATCAACTTTGTGCACTATTATGACAATTTGTTGAACCAAATATTTTGAGCACTCTTCGATCCTTCAAGACATGTAATTCTTTTTGGAAAAAGGCCCAAAATATATTTGCTAACGATATTCAACGACTTTATGATTCTGCTAATAGACTACCCTCCCTTAAGCAAGAGGATAATTCCATGATGTCCTTTGTTGCTGAAGCTCAATCAATAGTTGAAGAATTAAAAATGTTTCTGGAGGCAGAATCATTAGAGGAAAGAAAGACGAAGCTGGATAAATTCTATATGGTAATGATTCTTAGGGCTATGAATCCAAAATTTAATCATGTTAGAGACCAGATTCTAACTAGAGAAGAAGTTCCTTCTACGAAGAGTTTAATCACAAGGCTACTTCGTGTTCCTTCTATCAAAAGCAAAAACAGTCAGGAACTTGCTGATTCTTCCGCCATGATTTCTGCTCGTGGAAGAGGTAATCACAGCAATAGAGGACGTGGTGGGAAAGGACGTCCTCAGTGCTCTCATTGCAAAAGAATGGGACATACTAAGGAAAATTGCTTTGCTCTGCACGACTTTTCTGATAAGGCAGCTAACATCTCAAAATCTGAAGTTGATGAGCCCAAGTTCTCTCATGAAGAGTATCAAGAATATTTAAGGATGAAATCAACCAATTTGGCTCAAGCATCTACAACACCAAATTCATCAACCGCTTGCATTTCACAATCTGTGAAAAGTCAAAATCCGTGGATTATTGACTCAGGTGCTTCTGACCACATGTCTGATAATACCTCTTTATTCTCCTCTCTTTCATTTCCTAAAACCTCCCATCTCATATCTTTAGCTAATGGATCTAAAGTAGCCTCTAAAGGAATTGGTCAAGTATCCATCTCTTCTTCTTTAAACCTTCAAAATGTTCTTTGTGTTCCTTCTTTTCCATTCAGTCTTGTTTCTGTAAGCCAATTAACCAAATCATTGAATTGCTCAGTAACCTTTAATGCCAATTGTTATTGTTATCCAGGAACGTGGTACGGGTCGACTGATTGGAGAAGGACATGAATCTGGAGGCTTATACTACCTTAGGACTAAGTCATCTGTATCTTTTGTTGCATCCTTATCCCCAAAACTGTTACATGAGCGATTAGGGCATCCTCATTTAGCAAAATTGAAAAAAATGGTTCCTGAACTTCAGAACCTTCAAACTTTTGAATGTGAATCCTGTCAACTAGGGAAACATACCAGGTCTTCCTTTCCAAATCATTCTGAATCTAGATGCGATTCTGCTTTTAGTATTGTTCATTCAACCTAGTCGTGTTTCATCTTTTGGTTTTAGATATTTTGTTACTTTTATTGATGGGTTTTCTAGATGTACTTGAGTTTATCTTATGAAAGATCGTTTTGCACTATTGCCTATCTTTAAGTCTTTCCTTCATGAAATCAAAACTCAATTTGGAAAAGTAATCAAAGTTTTACGAAGTGATAATGCCAAAGAGTACTTTTCTAATGATTTTTCTAATGTCCTAAATTCTCAAGGCATTTTACACCAGTCCACGTGTCCTCACACATCACAGCAAAATGGTATAGCAGAACGAAAAAATAGACATTTGGTTGAAACTGCACGTACCTTATTGCTTGGTGCCAATATGCCTATTCATCATTGGGGAGATGATATTCTAACTACATGCTTTCTCATTAATAGAATGTCATCTTCTTCTCTTGACAATAAAGTTCCACACTCTATTCTATTTCCAAAGGAACCAACTTTTCATGTTTCTCCTAGGGTATTTGGATATATATGTTTTGTTCATGACATGTCTCCTGGCTTAGATAAACTCTCACCTAGAGCTATCAAATGTGTCTTCTTGGGGTATTCTCGTCTTCAAAAAGGATATAATGTCACTTTTTTTTAATCATCCTCCGTCTTCCCTTATTCTATGCAGGATATTGATTCTGTCCAAAATGTTTTTCCTATTCCCTTAGTTGAATCATTTATACCTCCTATTCCTGACACCCCAAATCCCAACCAAAATACTCTAGACTCATCATCACAATCTATCATCACCTATCAGCGCAGGAACCAGGTGAACAATCCCATTCCTCAAGATGAGCCATCCATAACAGGTCCCTCTCCATCATCCTCTAATACCACGGCTCCTGATAACGATGACTTCAGTTGGTCCATTGTCATTCGCAAAGATACTCGTTCTACTCGTAATCCTGATCCCATTTACAATTTTCTTTGTTATCATAGATTGTCTCCTTCCTATTGTTCTTTTATTTCCTCTATATCCTCTATTACAATTCCCAAAAATGTGGTCGAAACACTTGATCATCCTGGATGGCGACAAGCCATGATTTCTGAAATGCAGGCTCTTGATCACAGCAAAACATGGGAGCTTGTTCCTCTCCCTTCGGGAAAGAAAACAGTTGATTGTCGTTGGATCTATGCTATTAAAGTTGGGCCCAATGGTCAGGTTGATCGTCTCAAAGCCAGGTTAGTGGCTAAAGGGTACTCTCAAATATATGGACTTGATTATTGTGATACTTTTTCTCCTGTAGCCAAAATGACTACTGTCCGCCTGTTCCTTGCCATGGCCGCCATTCGTCATTGGCCTCTTTATCAATTGGATATTAAAAATGCCTTTTTGCACGGTGACTTAGAAGAAGTTTACATGGAGCAACCTCCTGGATTTGTTGCTCAGGGGGAGTCTGGTTTGGTTTGTAAATTACTTGGATCCCTTTATGGCCTAATACAGTTTCCACGTGCTTGGTTTGGAAAATTCAGCTCTATTGTTCAAGCTTTTGGATTAAAACGCAGTGAAGCAGATCATTCAGTGTTTTATTGTCACACTGCCCCTGACAAACATGTTTATTTAATTGTGTACGTTAATGATATTGTCATCACAGGGAATGATGCTGCTAAAATATCTCAGCTAAAAGAGCACTTGTGTAGTCATTTTCTGACCAAGGATCTTGGAAATCTAAAATATTTCTTGGGTATTGAAGTAACTCAATCTAGAGAAGGTATTGTCATCTCTCAAAGGAAGTATGCTCTAGATATTCTAAAAGATACAGGTATGATTGATTGCAAACCTGTGGACAGTCCTATGGATCTAAATTTGAAGTTAATGGCAGGACAGGGTGAAGTTTTCTTTGACCCAGAAAGATATAGAAGACTGGTTGGGAAACTTATTTATTTGACTATTACTAGACCTGATTTGTCTTTTGCAGTTAGTGTTGTCAGTCAATTTATGCAAGCTCCTTGTGTGGATCATTGGAATGCTATCATTCGAATCTTAAGATACATTAAAAAAGCTCCAGGACAAGGTTTATTATATGAAGGTAAGGGAAATACCCAAATTTTTGGGTACTGTGAGGCTGACTGGGCTGGATCTCCCATGGATAGGCGTTCCACTACAGGCTATTGTGTTTTCTTTGGAAGTAATATCATTTCATGGAAAAGAAAAAAGCAAAACGTTGTTGCCCAATCCTCTGTTGAAGCTGAATATAGGGCAATGGTGTCTCTTACTTGTGAACTTGTTTGGGTAAAACAATTCTTGCAAGAATTGAACTTCTTTGAGATTCAATCTATGAAGATGTATTGTGATAATCAAGCTCACATTGCTTCCAACCTAGTATTTCATGAGAGGACTAAAGAAATTTGTACTGAGTTTGTTGGTTCCAATGATCAGCTTGCAGATGCATTAACAAAATCTTTGAGAGGACCTCGAATGAAATTCATTTGTTCTAAGCTTGGTACATTCAATTTGTATGCTCCAGCTTGAGAGGGAGTGTTGAAGTATTTATTAGATTAATTGTATCTTGTTGGGCATTTATGAGATTAGTTGTAGACCTAGTTCCTAGAATGCATTTGTTTATCTTCTCTAGGATTAATCATGTCTCTCTATAATTGTATCTCTGAATCTGTATTTTTATCTCTATTATTTTCCTTTTTCTATTTCAAGTAACAATCACCTACAAACAATTTATGTGAAAAATCTGATGTCAAACCCACAAGACCTTAACATTTGCTTTTAGATATTATACAATTCGCCATAGGTATGCATTGCAATTAAGTATAAGAATCTTCAAATATTCTTTCCCATTTCAAACAGGAAAACTTCCACAAAACATTCCATTACTTCAACAAATACTAAAATTGCATTTGTGATCTCAATAACAAAAAGGACAGCACTTTTTAATTAATATGCATGTAGTGGAAAAAAACTTGCAGATGATTAAGCTTTAGTTAGTTCTGAATCATCAAGTAGGATCCATTTAAAATTAAAACTTGTTCAAAATGTACAACAATATGAATACTAACATGTTCTTCAAAACAGGTTCTAGAACAGAGTGCATTGGAGAAACATTTTTAAAGAATACGGTTTGACTATGTTTGAAAGTGTCTTCCCCATGTTTTTAGATAATTACGAGGGAAGAAAGGGCAGGTGACACAAGTTGTTAGTGGCATCAAATTCAAATATAAGCATAATTATTTCAAAACTTTTCCAAAATAACCAAGTTTTTAAAGGAAAATAATAATTGACATTTTAAATAAAAGCAAAACTAAAATCAATAATTAACCCCCAATTTGGAATGCAGGGAAATATAAGCCAGCTAAAAAAGAATTTAGATTTACCAACCTTGATTGCATCTACATTTTTCTGCTTAATATCAGTAGGAGAATGCAGGGAGGTAAACTTTGCTAATGAAGTCACAAAAGCATCTCTGTGAGTCTTCATGGACATTACAGAAGTAACATGAATAGCATAACGGAAGCCTTTAAGACACAGTGCTATTATAAATTCATCATCACTTTGATCAAGGGGCACACTGAAGGCAGCTAACATTGGTGCCCAGCAGACCTCAATCATGAATCTGAGGATTACAACATCAGTTGCTGCGTAATAAACTGACCTATAATTTGCAAGCAAATAAATATCAATAACACAGAAACTTTTGCGCCAAAAATATTTTAAAACAAAGAATAATAAAAAGAAAAACAAGTATAAAAAGAAGAATAAATCAACTTCAAAATGCCAAACAAGTGATCTAATTGGCATAATAGATCCAAAGGAACATAAAAAACACTTGTGAACATTTCAGAATCACACACCTCACTTGAAATTAACATGAACCATGTAAAGCAACAAATATATACTAGTAAAAGGGGTATGATATATTAACAAAAAAGGCAAGTGAATGAAAGCAACAGAAGGTTCTTCATAAAAAAGTAGATTAAGGTTCATTCATGACCTGGGAAAAGAAATTTGACTACGAATAATTTTTCTAATGTAATGGGAAAATACTGGATAACATACTCTGTTTTGCGAGCTTTTTCTTTGAATTGTTCTTGCATATGTCGGATTAGATCATCACTGGTCTCCATATTAGTGTCTTCCCCACGCTTCCGGATCACAATATTCAATATACTATCCAAGCCTAAAAGTCTGTTAGAGTTCACAGCCTGTACTTGCTGGGTTTCGAGATCAACTTCTTTCATTTTGATCTCATTTCTAGATATTCGTTCATACAAAGACCTTAAGTATTCTTCTGGTACATCTTTTCCATCATCTATGCCACGGTTATTTTTTATGAAATCTTCAGCCGACATCTGCATAACTCAATGAACAAAAAGAAGCTCTTTACATCTATCATAATCATGTGTAACTACTTCTAGAATTAACAAACCACACCTTGTTTTTCACCATAGGATTGTGAGCATCAGTATTAAGCAGTATCACAGAATATGCAAGGACATATGCTGTATCAGCACTAGAAAAGACTTTTGGATTACATTTGCAATATCGTTCTGCAAACTTTTCCATGATTCGATCAATTTTCTGTGCCTCACCGGGCAGTCTAAAGCCTTGAAGAAAGGCCCTGATTGCCTCATCAAACTCCAACCCTTGAAAGTCAAAAGAATCCACATAGGCATGCATTACTTTCAAGGATAACTCTTCCCTTTCTCCCAGATAATCACCAATCAAAGTCTTGTTCAACCCAGATGCATCTTTAAGAAAAGCTGCTATTTCCTCTGGTGAATTACCCACTTTGTTGGCATTGATGAGGAATTCAATTCCTTTCTTTGGCTTCCTGTTAAAAAGTGATATACCTTCCTGCCATAAACTTAGCATTAGCTTCATAGATGTCAGACAGTTGAAGAAATAACAGAGACTTGCTAGCTATTCCAAAATTTATCCAGTTTTTGACTGAATTGCAAACTCAAGGGTGGTGATGTAATCCTCCTTAACTAGTAATATAGCTAAAATAAAATATAAATATATAATAACGCAAACCTCAGCTTACAAATCAATTTTGTAGGATTGAGTTAGGTGCTAAATCAAATTTTTAAGATGGTAAGAACCAATCCCAAAGCTATTTGTGGGTCATTTGCATTTACCACGCCCTAGGATGGAAGTCCTGGGCATAAGTGTTGGTAAGCCCCTTAATTGTCATTACCACAATACTGCCTTAGTTTGTGACCTCTTTGGAGGTTGCCTTAATTGCAAACCTAAGGGTGGTTGCTCAGTTTTACATTGACTAGTGATATAGTTAAAATAGAATATATAAGTGAGGTGCAAACCTTATTTTAAAATACCTGAAGTTTCAGTTTATAAGCCCGGCGTTGCTCAATAGTTGAAGCCTCAGATGCCTCGTTGGAGATTTCAGAATAAGTGTCTGATCCTTCGACCGGCTCTTCACCATTCCCATTTGCAATGGGAAGACCTCCAGCTTCTTGGTCATTATCAACTGCTTCAACTTGTTTGCCTGAATGAGGATCTGGAATGCGCAACTGTTTGTTCATCCAGTCTCCCATAGATTTTAAAATGGCGACTAAGCACTTCATGGCTTCAAGTTTTAGTGTTTCCTCTTGAGGTGGCAAAACTGTGGTCGTTGCACCAGGAGGGACACCTTGGGCAGTTTTAAGTAGTCCATTGACCATCCTAGGAGGACCACAACAATTCGATATAAGTATAGAGTATACAAAACAACAATCAAAACAACCACGTCCACACCAACAGAAATGAATCCAAGAACATAAAATGATAACAAACTAGTGATCCATATTATAAATAGACAGTAAAACAAATTAATTAGTGTATACCAAATAAAACAAAACATTGCAGACCTCTCAAATATGTTTGTTGAATTGACATCACAGTCATAATTGATAAAAATGTCTACCAATATCTGTGAATCATCACAAAGCTTCTCTAGAAAACGAAGCACAATCATCTTTTGCTGGAAATTAGGTTGAGCAACGTTTTCTAGAACCCTGAGAACAATCATGGGGAAAAATACTCCAATTTCTGCTTTCAGTCCAGCTCTAAATCTTGACACCAGACTAATGAAAATGGAGCAAGATAGCTGAAAAATGATCAAAAGAGTCGAGGCACTGTTCTTCAACAATGATAAACATAAGTACTGCTTGATGGCGCCCAAAAACCTGCTTCACCACAGTCAATGAAACCATCAATAGTGTTTTTTATCATCCCAGAAGGATATATGATAAAATAGAAGGAAAAAAGTGTCCAGTTGTGCCTAAAAGACTGAAAAGATAATGTCCCATTTCATCTGCGAGAGCTTAAAATACATTCAAACTGAAAAAAGATACAATAACAAAATTCAAAAGACAATAGTAAAGGAATTAAAAATTGCAACTCAGTGATTGTCCATCTTGTGCAAAAAATCTGATTGCACAACATTAATCTCATGCAATTAATTCATACACAATTTTATGTACTTTGATCAGTTACTCTAATTCCTTATGAATTACATATTATGAGGACAGAAGGAGATTTTGAGTAGTATATACCACAACTAAAAATAATTCATGCTGATAGAGTCGAGTATTTAATTTCTCCTTTAATGCATTCAATCCAACCCTAACTCGTCTACTTTTACAGATAGCATGAAAAAGGAAGACTTTGCTACTGACTTGCATACCCAAGCTAATGTCTATGCACAATGCATAATAATATCACAGTATTGCAAACCAAAACTTAATATTGATAATTGCAGAAGGTATAAAACACTACTACATACAAGTAATACATACAACCAAAGCTTAGTATTAGTTTGGATAATTTGGTAAATAGATCCTACAAATATAATACATGAGTGATTATATTTGATAGTTGTCAACAGTCACAAAGAACAAGACCACAGTTCCATAGCATGTTTCACATTACACTTGTAAAAAGGTGCACAGAAAATCTGCCTAAGTAGAAAGCACTCTGCTTCTATTTTTCCACGACTATTCTGCCGTTTTCTCAGTTTCTACTTCTTTGCATGGAAGCATCAGTGGCAGGTATGTATCTTGACCAAGGACGTTTATTTCATATACGCAGCAGAAATCATATAATGAGTTTTATTAAATTTTAAGTCATAAAACAAATAAATCATAGTTAAAATCTTACAAATTGTTATGATGTTCCCCACTAGCTACATAAACTTACTACTGGATTAAAGATAATTATTCAATTTAGTATAGGTTATAAATGTTATGGATGACTAAAATTTTCATCTACCTAGTTGCTAGTGCTGTATTGTTTCATTAGTATTACGACCTTGGAAAATAAGGTGAAACAAACATCACTGTTTACCAGCACAGTACACTAAAAGCACTGTTGGACCCTTTTAACATAGTACCATGCACTGATGACTAGAATTTAGGATCCTCCCTATAAGATGCTTTACAAAGTAACTAAACAGTATAAGATACCCCAAAAGAAAAAACTATCAACCAAAGGCAGGTAAAGCAAAAAAAAAAAAAGGGTGGATATTGACTAATTTCATCCCTGAATCTGTAAATTGGTGGCAATTTAGTTTTCAAAATAAGGAAAAATCTTATTTATTCCCTGAATGTGTAAAAAAGTACAAATTGGTCTCTAAACTTTACTACTTAATGGTGAATTGGTCCTTCAAAGATACAAATTATATCTTTAGCTTAATGATAAAATGATCCTACAAAATTTAACAATAGGATGTAGCTGTCATATTTACACATTCAAGAACGAAATAAAATTTGTGTTCTTTTAGGGAATACATTGACACCAGTTTATACTTTCAAGGACCACATCTACAACAAAAGAAAATGAAATTATATGGCGATCAACTCAATTGAATTATTATGAATTGACAGAAATTGTAAAAAATAAGCAATATTTGACATCTTATTCAATTAGCAGATTGGCTATCTGTAACAGCAAAAGTTTTTATCAATTAATCTCCAAATGCCTAGACGAGTCATAAACTTGTATACCGAATATGGTTAAAAAACCTGAAATATTTTACCTTGTCGAAGCACACTGATGACAAGTCTCGGATAGAGAATGAGATATCGATTTGAGGTGGAAGAATTATATTCATAAATTACTAAATGAGATTATGCAATGACATTGGACATTAGATAATTTGAGACAGGTCCAGATAATACACCTCGGAATTCAGCACTAAAGTGGATGGTCAAAAGTAAAGAAATTGGACCCTGCCTATTGGTGTTTAGAAATTTTAAGAGAATATTGGTACAACTGGCTCCCAAAGTTGTTTGTTGAAAAACGTATTTCTAATAAAATGACAGTGCAGAGGAAAAGCATTTTGATCCATACTTTTAAGAGCAAGGGACATACACAGAACTTCGGAATTGTGCTAACAGATAAATTAAGCTCATGACTGATACTATGAAACTATGGGAAACTATGGAAAATGCCAAGGAAGAAAGTTCATGCTGGCGTATGTTTGGGCTAGTTACGAAATACATAATGAGGTTAAAACAAGTGTGTGAATACCTTACTACATATTTGTTTTTCTTTCAACGTATTCATTATGATGATATTTAAGTAAAATGCACTTGGGCAGAGGTACTAAAATAAAATAGACTTTTCTTTTACATTCCAGGGACTCAAATCAATTCTAAATTTAAAGCACCTAAAACATATTTAAACTTTAAAATAATAATATTATATGTATATAAAATATGAATAACTAATTATTTTGAGTATAATTAAGTAATTAATTTTTCTGATATATTTATGAAGAGATAAACAAAATAAAATAAAATACATCAGAAAAATGAACTAATTATGTATTTTTATTATACTTAGGAATTTCATTTGCATGATATCTTTTTGAGAATGGATAATGCGGGTTGACTAATTAAAATAATAATATTTTAAGGGAATTAAATAAAATATCAGAAAAATGAAGTATCAAATTATTTTGAATATAATTTGGTACTTCATTTTTCCTGGTATCTTATTGAAGAGAGAAAATCAGGACAACTTATTAAAATTAAAAAAAAAAAAATGAATAAACAATTGAACATCAATTAACAATTGCTGCAGGAGAAAGATTAATTCTTCCGCCATACTTAAGAATTATGTATTGTTAATAGTTTGATGTATACAGGATTGATCGGATTCACTTACACACCTTGAAAGTATTAAGTGTGTTGAATGGATAGAGATGAGATGATAACAACGAGAACTGTTCCACTATGGATATAAACATCATATTGTCTTCAGATATTATTACAGTGGGGAATGATTACCAACGTTATAAAGGCCAAAACGAAAACCTTCAAAAGGAGTTGAATACCTAGCAATGTGAATTCTATTTTCTCTCAACAGAGATGTTCTATTCAAGTAGAAATCATAAAGTATTCTGCTTAACGTAAATCATGGGACTGAAGCAGATTCTTAGTTCCAAATATATTCACCACAGTGAAAGCCTAATCTAGCAATATAATGACATATTCATACTTCTCTCTGGACTATCATATATCCCAAAAACATCAATCGATCTAATCATCCACAATTTCATCTTCACAATAACAATCCAATTGACATAAAGTAAGTCTGGATAAAAAGCTAGAAGTGTTTTTGAGAGTTTCCTTACTGGAAAAAGGTCAATATTTCTAGTAGAAAAGCTCTCAAAAGCAATTCTAACTTGTTCCCAAATAGGCTAATAATGTATTGAAGAATATGAAATTTAGAGTCATCGACCTCAACGGAACTATGACAAAATGTATTCAAATTACCACTTTATAATACCATCAACACACAATTACACCTCCTAGTTGACTATCACAGTATAACACCATAATTAAACCAAAGCTATCTTCACCCTGGGAGATCAAACAAGCTAAAATCTTAATGTTTAAGCTAAATCCCAAAAAGTTAATTCAATATGACAACTCAAAACTAAAATTTTACCTTTCGCTAGTCCTGAAGACAGCACCAGCATTCTCCAGCAAGATCTTCAACAACTCCAAGGCCACAATCTTCCCCTTCATCAACTGAGGGTCTACGGATGCCTCCTTCGATGGTGTCTTCATGGACAACTTACAAAGTGCCCTGAACACCAAAAAGGCATCTCTCCTGAGCTTATTCCCAATCTGAATCTCCAGATCATCATCCCTCTCCACCAGCTCCCCATCCACCAGCTCCCCTTTCCTCCCCTCCAATGCGGTCTTATACATACTGATCTCCCAATATTTGGCATCCAGCATGTCTTCGTCAGTGGAATCCAACAAATCCGCCGGATTCGCAGCTTCCACTGTTGCCGCCACTGTTGTCTCAAAGGCACCGTCGTGTGCGCCCAAAGTTGACGGCGTCACTGGATTCAAAACTCCATCAATGTCCTGCACAATCCTGGTGATAAAACCCTGCACAGACTGCGTCATGGAGTTATCCACGTCAGATTTGTCCACAGGATCCATCAATTCAGCCACAACAATAGGCTGAACCGGAACCGTGGACGAATCCGCCTCCATCCTCCTAAAGACAATAACTAACATTTGAATCAACGACGCTTTCGCCGTCGTCTGATTCACCACATTCTTACTACCGAGATATATGTCATAACAAGTTCTCACAATCAAGAGCAAGCAATCACCGTGAATTCGTAGGGAAATTGAGGTCACTGCTGATAAAAGCGTCTTCAGCACGAGCAATTCGACGGCGTCGTCGCCGAACTCGTGGCACTTGCATACCGCCTCGATCAGGCTGGCGAGCATCTTTGCCTCAGGCGCGCCGCCGCCGGAGTCCGCCTCGCCGCGGAGGAATCCGTGCGCGATGAGCCGCTGCACGGCGTCGACAGCGGGATCGGCGATCTTCACGACGCCGGAGGACGCGGCGGCGATGAGCGGTCGAAGGATCGACTCCGACTCCGCCAGCGAGTACTCCACTGGACCGCCATCGTGGATCGGGCCAGGGACCGAGGCCTCCGGCTCGGCTGCGTCGTTAGAGGCCGGCGATTGAGGCTTCGGGGCAGAGGTTAGAGTTTCGATCACGGATTTGCACTCGTGCGCGAGCTTCGCGTGCTTTCTCCATGACGCGTTTTTGATGATTTTCTCGAGCGCGGGAACGAGCACCTGCTTCAGACGGGAATCGGCTTCCGAAGAAGCCATTCCCGAGTTAAGAACGAGTCAAGGCTCAGTGACGCTCCTAGGATCTTGTTCTAGCTCCGGCTAGTGGAGCTGGCAGAGAAATGGCGGCGAGTTGACTCAATGAGTTGCGCGGAGAGCGAATTACCTTTTGGGGATCTAAAGCAAGTAATGGCAGAGTGTGACAGTGTTTGATTGAAGATTACGGTTCCGTTTCACGATAGGATACGGTTCGTTATTAGCCCAAAAATATACACTTATTTTACTAAGCACACCTTCTCTTTTCTCACTCAGCAAGCACCAGCTTAGGCCCAGCCCAAACTGCTCTCTCCACCCCATCTCATCTCAACTCTCACTGTGCTACTACGACACGAACCCATCTCTCTCCTCTCACCCTGACGAGCATCTACTGCAACCAGCAACCACCGCGCACCACCTTCTCCGTGACCGGAACCCTGTGCGACCACCACCTGCCCTGTGCCACCTCCGCTCCCACGAGGAAGCAGGTCGCGCCTCCACAACCGTTACGAGCGACCACCAGCAGCTCTCCGCTACCTCTACCGCGACCAGGAAGCTTATAATTGGAATTTTATCATGCATATTGTGTTTGGTATATTCGAGTTTGCATGTGAATTTATGAACTGCCCTGCATAAGAAGAGAGTTGCGGGTAACTGTCTTTTTTATCATGCTAGTTTTTCCCTGTTTTTTCTTCCCAACGATAAGAGTGCACTAATTTCTAACACTGAATCCACTGAGTTTCCAGAAATAAGAGGTTACTCAAATTCGAGTACGAGGGAGTGGCACAACGTTTGCATTTACTATTGTCGTTCTCTTCAACTGTCGTAGTACGGGGTTTTTGAACTTACGTCATTGCAGAACCGCGAAAGGGAACTTGCAGAGTGATGCATTTAATCTATTAATACTTCATTGGTAAGTTTTGTAAAATCTTCAAGCTTCCTTTTTCTCATACAAAAATTTGCATCTTGCTTGAGAAATAAAAAATAAAAAATAAGAGCTATTAGATAAGAAAAATAAGTTTTTTTAGCATTTTTCTTTATTAATCATATCAATAAATTAATTAACAACGTTTGCTTCTGTGTTGAATTTTAGGAAATGGAATAAGGGATCGTTGCTCCTGTGGCGCATGTGCTGGCTTGCTTATTATGATGTGATTCTTCTGATATATTGGTTAGAATATCATAGGGGATAACAGATTCTGGTTTTGATCATATTTCAATGATGGGCACCTATTGCAATAATAACCTAGTGTGCAACTTGTATTACCCGCACTATTCAATAACCAATTGTGTTGCCAAATTTTATGGTGTTCTGACTAGAGGACACTCATCATGCCAAAACCCAATTTATTTTGGTTTTCATAAACACCGTTTTGATTCAGTACTAGCTGGTGTTGGTATGGAAGAAATTGTTAAAGAAGTGAAAGAAGAATATTACAGAAGGTTTAGGTGGATTGAGATTGGCAAAAATGTCACGAGAGAACAACAACAGGCCATATCTGAACTTCCTTTCAGGATGTCGAATCGAAGTAAAGCCTTGATGAGACAGATTATTTGTTTTTCTGCAGAGAAGGGCACCATATCTGATCTTTTGGAATCATGGGTGAGAATTATGAAGCCTATCAGAGCAGACTGGCTTTCAGTTCTGAAAGAGTTGAGAATAATGGAACATCCTGTTTACCTTGAGGTATTTCTCATTTTCTGTTTCCTTGATACAATAGTTGTAGTGAGGTTTGAACGTATGCCAACTATCCAAATTCCAAATGGCATATGGTAGTGTTATATTTGCACCCGTGGTTTTGTTGGTTTTAAATGTGAAATCTCTTGCAAAGATGTCAATTTGAGGTTTATGTATTTACCAGAAAGTGGTGAAGTGACCAATAAGTAAAAGAAAAAAAGTTAAACTAAATATACATGCATTATGAAAATTGATGTGTACTCCATTTTATGGCTGTGATTGGTAATTGGAAGGGGAATGCAGTTTTTTCCTCTACCATCTAAATCTTCTTGCGTGTCTAGTAATAAGTTTGTGTAGCAAGGGAGTGATTTACTTTGTGATGAAAACATTGTAAAAGATATTCAAGCCAAATGATATTTTCCCAACTATGTTTCATGGTATGTGATAATATTCTTACCTGATGCAACTTATATTTTCTTTGCATTTTATTTGTTTTCTTTCTTGCAGTCTAAAATTAATCTGTGGATTTATACATATTTTTAGGTAGCAAAACACGCTCTTCGAGAAGAATCCTTTGAAGTCAATATTCGTGACTTTACAAAGATAATCCATTATTATGGCAAACACAATCTACTGGAAGATGCTGAAAATTTTCTAACACTCATGAAGCAAACGGGCTTCATCTATGATCAAGTAATTCTGACGACCATGGTGCACATGTACAGCAAGGCTGGCCGCCATGACCAAGCCAAGGAATATTTTGAAGAGATCAAATTGCTTGGCGAACCTTTGGATAAAAGATCATATGGCTCAATGATCATGGCCTACATCAGAGCAGGAATGCCTGAAGAAGGAGAGAATTTACTCAAAGAAATGGACGCGCAAGATATATGCGCAGGCAGCGAGGTTTACAAGGCACTGCTTAGAGCCTACTCTATGATTGGTAATGCTGAAGGTGCACAAAGGGTGTTTGATGCAATTCAATTGGCTGGTATCACTCCAAATGATAAGATGTGTAGTTTGGTTGTTAATGCTTATGCTATGGCTGGACAAAGTCAAAAGGCTCTCAATGCATTTGAAAATATGAGAAGAACAGGTATCAAACCTACTGATAAATGCATAGCTTCAGTATTAATTGCTTATGAGAAGGAAAGCAAGATAAATACAGCATTAGAATTTCTACTAGATTTGGAGAAAGATGGAATCATGGTTGGGGAAGAAGCCTCTGCAGTACTGGCTAAGTGGTTCCGAAAACTGGGGGTGGTGGAGGAGGTGGAGCTTGTTTTAAGAGACTTTGCCACCGGTCACCAGATAAGCTAACGTAGAAGTTACTGCATGTAATTAGTTCGAAGCTTTTTGGAGCAACTATAACTGTTTAGAAAATGATTAATATGCAATGTAATGCAATGCAATGAATATTTGAACTGTTCTGGAAATGATTTAATATGCAATATGCACTCTGAATTTCTTCTGTTTTTTTCCATCGATGACCATGCCACCAGTGCTACTAGATATAAAGATAATGTACCAATGCAACCCTTTTTAACAAATTGGTTTATTTACAATATCACCATCCTATTATATTGTTAAAATCGCCTACACATACTAAATATAATAGCACTGAATTTACATATGGTTTATTTAGTTTAGTAAGATAAGTATTGTGTATGGAAAAGAAATTAGCTGTGACAAACCTCACTTTATAGAAGAATCAAACAAAGGTGAGAAAGGCAGCACCATTAGTGGAATCATCCAATAAACAAAGAACAAGAGAATTAGATTCCACATTAATCTGCAAAAAAATAACACTTCCCTTCATGTTAGTGCTCGAATTGCCTTTAGTTTGCGTATTTATATTCATCCTTACTAACCCAATGACAATGCAGTGGAGAACCATCTGGTTAGTTCAAGTGAAGTGGTCACATAGAAATATAATGTAATGTATTGTCTTCAGCTTCATCAGATCCAAGTCCATTTCGTTGAGTTGCACGTCCAGGTATACATAATATATGATATATGATTGCATGTCTCCATTTGTTTCGACATAGGTTTTCATTCTCATTCTATAGTTCTGTTCATTATTATTTTTCACTGCGGCATCAACTTCTGTAGCAGATGTTTTAATATATGTAGGGTTTTCATAGTAAAAATAATAATGAAATATCTACACGTGGGATCTCTCATGCACTCCACGTAATCAAAACTATGTGCATGGGAAGTTTGAGATATCTCATGAAAGGTGCTAGGGATCATGAACAAGAATGTTGTGTCACAAGGTGGGATGGTTCAAATCTGGTCATTTGGATACTATAAGTTGATGCTTCTTTGCCCCTTTTGGCTTAGTAGACCTCTTAGATATCTTTCCTTTTATTTATTTATATATAATTCTTTTTTAGTTCACTAAATTTAGTGTGTTAAGATTAAAATCATATTTTACTAAATTTAAAAGATTAAAATGATTCATTTATAATTGAAAACAAAATGATTTATTTTGAATTTTAAGTGAAAAAATATAATTAAATTTTACATTTTCTCAAACTTAACCCTCTAAAACTATATCTATTCATGCAGATAACATTTGATCAGTTGACAGCACACTTTTCTCGGCTCCTCTCCGTTACCAGTCTCCCAGTCATGGTACTCCCCGTAGGATCCAAATGGAACCACACAGAACCCAAATGGAAAAAAATCACAAATCACGGTTGTAATAACAAGTCTTACATCGGGAGGTCTTATAAGGTGGGAAGTTCTCTAACTCCTTGAACTGATTTTTGAGAGATAGTTTTCCTTCTTAGCTTTATGATTGTTACATTGGTGTTTTCATTGAGAGCTAGCCAACTCGAAAAGGGCTACTTATGAAGGGTTCTGAACGATAAAAAGACCGAGAGAAGGAGGTGGTATTGTAACAAGTCTTACATCGAGGAGGTCTCCTTATCAAAGAGGTCTTATAAGGTGGGAGGTTCTCCAACCTCTTAAAGCCAATTTTGAGTGATGGTCCTTAACTTTATAATTATTACAATGGTTTTGCGAAGGAATCTGTCAAAAACAAAATATATGATAAAAGTAAAGGAGAAGAAATGACAGTTTTCTTATGCTGTGTGTGTTGTCTTAAAGGACGTCAACAAGGAGAATAGGAAATTTGCTGTGTTTAGATATACTTATATATAAGTACTTACATGAAAAAAATATAAATAAAATGTAATCTATTTTTTTATTGGTGCTTATTGTTGGACAATTCGAAAGAAAAAATGCAAATAAATATTTATTAATGTATACAATCAAATAAGATAAGATGACACTTTCTTTAATTCAAGATGTTTTTTTTATTTGCTCCACACGTATATTCTTATACTATTGTTAAAAACATTAACACGTAATAGAATTGAATATACACATCAATCACTCAATTGGTACAGAATGATTAATTTAGTTTTAGTACAAGATAAGAATTGTACAAGAAAAATAAATTAACTGTGAATAAGCGAACCAAATGTCTAATATAAATATTTACCTAAATCAGACATAATCACATTATCTTTAACTCAAATTTAAAGTATTAAATAATGGATTTTTTTTATTTATATTTTATTTAGCCCTTTTATTTTTACTATAGGTAAAATTTTAATTCATTATTACATTTTCAAAAAATGGAACAAAGTTAACATTAAAAAAAAAAACAAGAGAATTAGATTCCACGTTAATCTATGTGAGATTAACATTCCCTTCATGTCAGTGCTCGAATTGTCTTTAGTTTGTGCATTTATATTCATCCTTACGAATCCAGTAACAGTGCAGGTGGAGGACCATTTGATTTTAAGTATAGTGGTCAGAGAGAGACATAAGTAAGGCTCATTTCAAGTAAAATTGTCAATAGTTTGTTTCCTTCCAATTGGTTGTTAAATATATATTTTTTCTTTAATTATATATTTAAAAAATATTAATTTTCTATTTTTATTCTCCTAAAACGTATTTTATAATAATCAAATTACAAATAATATATCAGCGCACTACAAGAAAAAACACATTTAGCCACCGAAATTAGCGATCGATTTAATTTTAGTCGTATTTAGAGACCGATTTAGCGACCACTTTAATTCCGTCGCAATTAGTGACCGATTTAGCGACCAAAATATGATTTGGTTTTCACTTTTTTATTTAGCGACTGAAATATCGACCAATTTTTGTGTGTCGCAAATTTTCAGTCGCTAAATCAGTGACTATTTTATACATAAATAAAAAAATCATTTAGCGACTGATTTAGCGACCGAATTACAAATTGAAATAGCGACCAAATTAAAATCGGTCGCTAATGAGAAAATAATCCATGATTATATCTGATTTTTGCAATATCGCTCAAGCGAAAATAATATCGCTCGAGCGACGCCACCTACACAAAATTGGCATTATCGGGTTGTATTTCGCTTGAGCGACACTATTCTCGCTCGAGCAACATCCGATTCAAACATGAGGCACTCAGGTTACATTATCTGGCTAACTTTGATCGACGTTTACGCAGGTCAACATTCGCTCAAGCGAAAGTAACATCGCTCGAGCAACGCCACCTGCACAAAATTGGCATTCTCGGGTTGTATTTCGCTTGAGCGACACTATTCTCGCTCGAGCGACATCCGATTCAAACATGAGGCACCCAGGTTACATTATCCGGCTAACTTTGATCGACGTTTACGCAGGTCAACATTCGCTCAAGCGAAAGTAAAATCGCTCGAGCGACGGCACATGTGGAACCGCTATCATATAATAACATTCACTCAAGCGAAAGTAACGTTTACGCAGGTCAACATTCGCTCAAGCGAAAGTAACATTCGCTCAAGCGAATGTAACATATAATAGTGGTTCCAAGTGGAACCGCTATCATATACAACCAAATTTTTTGATTCTGATCGATTAGATTTTCAAAATGATCGATCATATTTGATAATTTTTTCAAATAATAAATTATAATCGATTAGTTTTCTAAATTATTTATTAGAATTGATTAGTTTTTCAAATAATAGATTAGAATTGATTAATTTCTGAAATATATACTAAAAATTTATAATTAAAAATATAAATTATTTAAGAATATTGACTATTGTAAAGATAAAGTAGAACATGAGAGGAGATGGGGATGGTAATATAATGATAGAACTTACAAAAATGTAGAATTGAGAAGTTTGAAACAAATAAAATTAAGAAAATAGATATTTAATTACACTTTTAATAAATTTAAGATAATACTAGTTTTGATTTTTATTTTTAAATATTTATTTTAATTATTTAAAATAGAGAAACTATAATATTAGTTTCTAAATACTGAATTTAAAGAATTAAATTTATTATTATTTAATCTTTTAATTTTAGTATTAAAAATTTAAATTATATTTTATTAAATTAAAATAATTACAATATATTTTTCTACTTTGAGAATGAACAATATAATTAAACTCAAAATTGACAATATTATAATACATTTTTGAACTCTTTTGGATTAATTTTTTTTCCTAATTTTTGATAAAGTTAATTTTAATATTTAAAAGTATTTAACATTTTGAATTCTAAAAGGTTTTCTCTAATAGCAAATTTAAAAACATAATATTCAAAAAAATAGTTAATGTAAGTTTTCATTATGATCGATTATAATTAGAAATGATCGATCATAATTGAGAAGATATAATAGCGGTTCCACGTTAACCGCTATCTAACGTATATTTTAGATAGCGGTTAAGGGTTAACCGCTATTAGAAGTGCCCTTTAATAGCGGTTCAAGTGGAACCGCTATCATATACAACCAGATTTTTTGATTCTGATTGATTAGATTTTCAAAATGATCGATCATATTTGATAATTTTTTCAAATAATTAATTATAATCGATTAGTTTTCTAAATTATTGATTAGAATTGATTAGTTTTTCAAATAATAGATTAGAACTGATTAATTTCTGAAATATATACTAAAAATTTATAATTAAAAATATAAATTATTTAAGAATATTGACTATTGTAAAGATAAAGTAGAACATGGGAGGAGATGAGGATGATAATATAATGATAGAACTTACAAAAATGTAGAATTGAGAAGTTTGAAACAAATAAAATTAAGAAAATAGAGATTTAATTACACTTTTAATAAATTTAAGATAATACTAGTTTTGATTTTTATTTTAATTATTTAAAACAGAGAAACTATAATTTTAGTTTCTAACTACTCGAATTTAAAGAATTAAATTTATTATTATTTAATCTTTTAATTTTAGTATTAAAAATTTAAATTATATTTTATTAAATTAAAATAATTACAATATATTTTTCTACTTTGAGAA